GCCCCTATAAATTCATGCTCTGGGAGGCATAGTCCTGCCCACTTTACGACATGGACTCTCGAAAGACAGCAAAGAAGAAAGAACAACACTGAGGAGGATATATAAATTATCACGTCCGAGGCGGAGAAAAACAAAATAATTTTATTTTGAAGCCTTAAGAGTGGCGTTAAGGGAGCCCAGAAGGCTGCAGTTTGGAAAACTATTGCTGCTGCGGTAAACACTGTTGGGGTGGAAAACCGGAGTGCAGCAGAGGTTTGATTTAATTAATTAATAATTCAATTAATAGATCCATGATATTTCATGTTATATGGCCTACATAACTGACAATCCAAATGCTTTACATGTAGGTAAGAAAAAGTGGTTCGATTTTAAGATCACCACCAAAAAACGGGTTGCTGCACACGGACCAGTGGAGGCCAACCAGACTTGAACCTCCAGCTGTCACCATTTGGGGAGCGTGTGGCAGCAGGGCTCCCCCGTACATCGTGGGAATACGAGGCGGTGGGGACACGGACGAGTCCCCACTGCCTCGATCGAGCTGCATGAGGGTAATTGTTAAAATACAGTCTGCAGAGATCAATCTTCATTGTACTTTTATTAGTATTACTCCATGACATTTTATTGTGTGCCACATAAAACGAGCAGCCACTCGTCACTTTCCTAGAGGAGATCTTCTCCGCACCGAAAGTTCCTCTCACATCGGACAGAATTGTATTCCTCTAACAATAGAAGATCTGCCATTGTCAAAATGTGATCACGGTAGTTAGCTAGTTAGTTAATGTACTCTTATGGTTACTCACTCAAAGTGACAGCAAAATAAAGAAAAGTTTGATGAAATGAGTGTAAATGTGCACGCGCTAGTAATAAATTTGATTTTCTAAAATAATTATGCGCAAACTTATTTTCCAGTCTGTCTTTAATTAAGTTGCGTTTCTTTTGTTGTTCAGTATATGTCTGACTGGATGAGCATCTGACATACCACACTGCCTATCTGTCAAGCCACGCATTGTGCTTAATCAAATTGATTGTAATTGTCAGCCATCTGGCCTGACAAGCAGGTTGTTGTCTCAAAATATATGTTTAATCAATTTCTTAACACAGGTGTCTTATTTATTTATTTATTTATTTAGCCTATTTATTCATTTTACTATTAAAAGCAACAACAGCATGACGTCCAAATCGCTGCATATTATTAATAATTTTGACAGCTGACCTCGTTCCTTCATGTTGTTCGCTGGTTTCAAATCTGCGTACCCCTGGTCAGACCTGGCGTGAGATTTTTGCGGACCATTCGCTCACGTTCAGATTGATAAATGCCGATCCTTGCGGGAGATTTGGTGTACACCCATTTTTTTGGTGTGCACGCGTTTGATAAATGAGGGCCCATATCTTTATTTCGTTTCTTTAGGGCCATTTAGAGGTGGATTTACCACCACCATATTTGACTGTTGGTATGATGTTCTTTTTGTGGAATGTTGTGTTAGCTGTACGCCACATGTAACGGGACCAGTGTTTTTCAAACTTTTGACTCATCAGTCCACAGAATATTATTCCAAAGGTCTTGGGGGTCATCAAGATGTTTTTTTTGCAAATTTGAGAGAAGTCCTTTCGTTCGTTTTGGTCAGCAGTGGTTTTTGTCTTGCAGCTCTCCCATGGATGTCATTTTTGCCCAGTCTTTTTCTTATTAAGGAGTCATAAACACTGATCTTAACTGAGGCAAGAGAGACCTGCAGTTCTTTAGATGTCAGTCTGTGTCCTTTTTTTTTTGATCGCTTAGATGAGTCATAGGTGTACTCTTGAGGAATTTTGGTAAGTCGGCCACTGCAGTGAAAGGATACCATCATTCCAAGTTTTCTTCATTTATAGATAATGGCCGTGACTGTGGTTTGCTGGAGTCCCAGAGGCTTCAAATGACTTTGGAACCCATTCCAGACTGATAAATGTCAATAACTTTGTGTCTTTTTGGTTCTTAAATTTCTTTAGATGGTAGCATCATGTGCTGCTTTTTGCCAACTTCACATTGCCAGACAGGTTCTATTTAAGTGATGTTTAGATGTTTAGTCCAGTGAAAGTGAACCCAAATATCAATTACATTTGTTAAATTATTTGATTTAGCGAATAAGGGGGCAATTACTTTTTCACACAGGGCCAGGTTGGATTGGATAACTTTTTTCCTTAAATAAATAAAATCATTTTAAAAGTGCATTTTGTCTTGTACTGAAATTAGTTGGATGAAATGAAAAATTTAAGTGTGACAAATATGCAAAAATAGAAGAAATCGGAAAGGCCTCAAATACTTTTTCACAGCACTGTATGATAGCACACATACTACAGATGCCTGTCATACAATCACCACATGAATCGCATTCACAAATATACTCCTGCCATTGCAACTACATAATAAACTCCCCACCCCCCTGTGGTATCTGTATCTCATCAAATGACTTCGATTTCACAATTACACTCCCCAGGTAGCATTTAATCATTTTAATACTTAAGACCCTGTCTTCAACGTACCATATTACAGGCAATTCATTAGTACACTTAGTATTTCAACTAGCCCATGATATACATTTAGCAATGGTGATGTTTCACGCCATGTTTAAACTTTTTTATAACATGCCATTCTATCTAGATTATAATGTTGGGCCCAATTTTGCAGTCTGACAATAATCAAATGGGAAGATCACCTCTATTCCAATTTTCTAAAAGGTAACAAGGACTCATCAATAATTTCCTGCTGGCACAACACACATCTAGGAGGAGAAATGGATCAGAATAATGTTGTTCTATTTAGAGCAGGGGGTCCATGTAAATCAGAGGTGTCAGCTGAAGTGTCATTGAAGAAATTAGGTCACAAAAAGCAATATTTGGTATTTTTCGGAAACCCAGCTGTCTCCATATGACTTACGAGAACCACGTGAAACCTGAGGCAAAACCAATATCATGATTCTACCACTAGTTGCCAAACAAATGGCAAAAATTACAAAATGGATCACAACTATGACTCTTGTGGGGCATGGAATAATGTGATATGTAATTAAAGTTATTCACCAAAAAATGTATCATTATGGCATTGTGTATCCTTGTATCATCAATGTGATAACTCAAAGCTATTGGCAACGACTGGCAGAGGCAACACATGTTCAACAGCATGGTCATGATGCATTTCAGGTGCCTGGACAGGTCAGGAGAAACAGCAGTCCTCAAAGAATAAGTGCGTATTTACAGAATGTGGTGTTTTTTTTTTTTCGCAGTATAGCTCTGGATCATGCATTGCAGGGAGAAACTGAACTGCATGCACCTCTTGTGGTAGCAGACATCAGTATGCATGGGAGCGTTGAGACAGATTTGCAGAGTTATTTTTCCCTTGTTGAAGACTCAGCATGAGTTGTTTAAAAAAGAAAAACTGGCATAAAGGCACCAAATAACTGTCTTTAGAACAGTAAGTAATACAATTATTATTTTTTTACAACCCTAACTCAGAAACGGTTGGGACAGATTTCCAAATTTACAACCAAATTTCCAGAAAAGTTAGGACACTATAAAAAGTAAATAAAAACAGGATGCAATGATTTTCAAATCATTTAAACCCTTCATTTTATTGAAAATGGTGCACAGACAACATATCAAATGTTGAAACTGAGAAATTTCATTGCTTTTTGAAAAAAAAAAAATTTGCTCATTTTGAATTTTATGGCAGCAACATGTTTCAAGAAAGTTGGGACAGTGCAATGTTAATCACTGTGTTGCATCACCTTTTCTTTTAACAATACTCTGAAACCATTGGGGAACTGAGCTGAACAACTGCTGTAGTTTTGGAAGCAAAATGTTTTCCTATTCTTGCTTGATATAGGCTTTCAGCTGATCAATAATTCGCAGACTCCCTTGTCATATTCTTTTTAATAATGCGCCAAATATTTTCAGTGGGTGACAGGTCTGGCCTGCAGACAGGCCAGTTCAGCACCCAGCCTTTTTTACTACAGAGCGATGCAGTTGCAATACATGCAGAATGTTGTGTTTGGCATTGTTTTGCTGAAATAAGCAAGGCCTTCTCTGTCAGAGATGTCTGAATGGCAGTAAATGAAAATCCAAAACCGGTATATATTGTTTAGCATTAATGATTTCTTCACAGATGTGCAAGTTACCCATTCTATGTGCAATAATGCACTCCCATGCTATAATAACATAACATAACATAACATGAGTGGCGAGAACATGCCATTCAGCCCAACTAGCCTTGCCAGTTTCTTATTACTATAGTGAATCTATCTCTTTAGATACTCAATGACTCAATGGTATCCAGCGCTAAATCAAGCCTGTTCTTGAAAATTCCCAAGGTTTCTGCCTCAACAATGTGGTCAGGCAAGCAATTCCATACTGAGATTACTCTCTAGCTGAAAAAAATATTTCCTAATATCAGTGCTAAATTTACCCTTGGCCAACCATTTGTGACCCAGAGTTCTACTAACAAAACTTGGCCACAAAACTGTAGTGTCGTGGAAAGGAATGGATACATTAAAAAATGGTAAATATTTTGCTGCCCCAACTTTTTTGAAGTGTCTTGCAAGAATCAAGACTGAAATGTTATTATTTGAGCAAAGCAATAAAATGCATGTGGTGAAATGTCAAATAATGCACTGTGGTATTGTTGTCAACATGACACACATCATAAATAATTTACAAATCACTGTTTTCTGTTTTAATTTTAATTTAATATACTTTCCCTACTCTTCCACATTTCGTCCAGTAACAGAGTAAACCAAGTACCTTGCTCTAGTGTGTACACCAGAGGCTCAACAGACAGTGTTAATGTTGGTATTGAATTTGACCCAACCTCTCTTGACCAAGTGCCAATATTTTCATATCACCCATCTGCAGCTATAACATGATGCTTACACTTGTAAATTTGCAGAGAAGAACCATTCACACCAATGGATCGTTAAAGATGTTGTGATAGTCTTTGCGCTACTCTGAAAAAGCTGCCGACCACTGCCGGCTGGTCCGAGGCGGGGATCGAACTCGCAACATGATAGTCATTTCTACTTCACAGCGCGATGCTTTACCGAGTGAGCTATCCAACAGCTCTCAAATCATGTTTCTTAGGACATTCTGCTCCTCTTTTGAATGAATGTAGTTCTGGCAAAGCTTTGAAGAATGTTTGGGGTCATTGTCTTTTTTAAAAATCTGAGGGTGGCCCCAAACTTTTGGCCTGTAGTGTATGTCCTGACTGGTGAGTCACTAGCTAGCCCCAGGTATAGTTGTTGTAGCAAGGTGATGTTATTCCATTGTAGATGCTGTTTGTACAGTTGTCGAATGCCCAGATTAACAAATCAAACTACTCTCGCTAGTCAGCCATATACAACACGCTCTGGATTTAAAATACTTCATTTGCTGAGGTTTTAACAAAGAAAACTAAGCTAGCTGGCTAGTTTTGCAATGCTACACCTGAGGCAATACGAAACAAGGCTTCCGGGTTCACTGGTTTGGTGTAAAAATGTCACAGGAAAAAAAATGTTAAAGGAAGGATTTCTTATTCTTGAAAAGAGGAAAGAGAAAGAGCACCAGAAACACCGCTTGAAATGTAATTTTAACGCACGGCAGCTCTGATAGGTTTTATATCTGCCCTTTTTCCTCCGACATTTTTTCCTCTCATTTTTACCTGGCACTGGGTTCACTACATCCTCACAAATCTGTTGTCATTTCAACTACCACGCCCATCAGCAAGTCATTAAAGCAATGGTATACAACAGGGATGGGCTATTCCTGTCCCGGAGGATTTGCGTCCAGCCTCTTGTCATTTCCAGTTATTCTTCTTAAGAAAAGGCGACTAAAATGTAATATTAGCTAAATGGTTCAGCTTATTAAGGTTATTTGGTCATTAGAGGCCAGAAATCTCCAACAAAGCCAGGAATAGAAATGGCTCTCATTACCCATCTGTGCCCTGGCTATCGTTTCTACTGAGCTACTCTCAAGTGTTAGAACTCAGACTATAGCTCCCTACCTGCATCTTAAACTATTCAGTGACTCAATCCAGCACGCCCTCCTGGTTCCTATTGATGGACCATTATTGGTCTCCAACATGCAGTCAAAGAGCAGACCTTAATTTTAACCACTATTTTAACACTACAAAATGATTCCAGTCCTGTTCCACACCAATCGCAAGAGAAGCAACCCTCCATCGTCCAGAAACATTCCAACTCCTTTATAGTGGCTTCGGATCCTTACCATATTTCCTGCAGCACTACAACGCCATCATGTCAACAGCCTACAACACCGATTTTGCAGCAACTGCTCACTGCTAATGGGCCAGGTTGTACGATTTCCCACGCCTGCACCCTCCGTTTTCGATCTTCTCGGCCTGCTCCGTCCCCCCTTTCATCACTGTCTTTGGAGTCTGCGCTAAATCTCTGAGCACACGCCTCCTGTCGTCCCCTCGTACCTTCCTCTCCTCCTCTTTCACCTTATTAAATGATCAAACATGGCTCCTTTGGTTTCTTTAGCCTTAAACGTATTCATTGCAGTCATTTGAAATCATGGAGGAACAAATCTGGCAATTCTCTTTCTGACTACTCTATCCTTTACCCCCCCACCCCACCCACTCCCTCCCGGCTAAAATCCCAATGTATTTTGCTATGCACATGTTGCTAACCCATTTCTGTTTACAGATGCTACATCTGCTAGGAAAATGCTATAAATTTGAACAATGAAATTGCACACCCCGCTTCCCCCTTCGTTCTCTTCCATTGTTCCCTCTTGTGCCCTTCCCTCGTCCCCTTTTCTAACCTCATCCCTACATAGGAAAATGCGATAAATTCTAGTAATAAAATTGCGTACCCCTCATTCCCCCTGTCCCCCTCCCTCGTTCCTGTTGTCCTTTTGTCTCCTTATCCCCACATGATTTTTGTGCATTTTTCTTAGACGTGCAAAAATTCAACAATGAAATATTACACCCCCACATCCCTCCGTTTCCTCGTTCCTCTTCCTTCACACAAATTATTCCATTGCATTTCAATTTCAGAAGCTTTACTTTATAGCAACACATGACAAATTCCATCAAATTCACGCCCTGATTTTTCCCCATTTACTCATTCCCTTTTCACTTGTTCCCATGGTCCCTTCGTCCCCTTTCCTTGTTTTCCTTTCATCCTTCATCCTGACATGATTTTGCATTTTTTCTTACAGTCGCTAAATTCAAATAACAAAATACCATGCCCTCTCATTCTCCTGATCCCTCATTCCTCATCACTGACACAAATTATTTCATCACATTTCAATGTTCAGAGCCTTTCTCATAACGCACAACAAATTCCATCAAATTTTCATGCCCTAATTTACTCATCCCCATGTACATAATTTCCATTGTACCTTCGTCTACTTCCCTCATTTCCCTTCCGTCCCTCATCCATACACAATTTTGCAGTTTTCTAACATATTTTCAACATCCAAATAATGACATAAGACGCCCCCTTATTCCCCTTTTCCCTCGGTTTCATCCCTCACACAAATTATTTCATTGGATATAAATTTTTGGAAGCCTTTATAACCACGCAAGACAAATTCCATCAAATTTTCATGCCCCAAAATCTCCCATTCTCTCATTCCTTTGTACCTCATTCCCATTACTTTGTTGTCCACCTCCCTTGTTTTCCTTTTGCCCCTTTATCCTTACCTGATTTTGATGCATTCTTTCTTACAGATTTGCAAAAAATTAAAAAAAATGAAATGTCACGCCCCCTTGTCCTTCTGATCCCTCGTTCCTCATCCCTCAGAAATTATTTCATTGCATCTCAATTTTCAGAGGCTTTACCTTATAACAACACACAACAAATTCCATAGAATGTTCAAGCCCTAATTTCTCACCCATTTACTCATCTCCTTGTCCCTCATTCCCCCGTCTCCTATCTCCACACATATTGTTTTATCAAAGCTTTGTTTCACAGGCAATGTATATAATGACAGTCTTGTAAACGCGAGAATAATATCACTTCCCTCCGATCATATGTCACGTTGTCCTTCTCTTCCCTCTCCTTCTCACAAATGCATGTATAGTTTGTAAGGCACTTTCTTTAACATCTACTGGATACGAATGTTTGGTAATCACAGTGAACGTAACGTCTCCTTCAAGAACTACCACATTTTTTGGGGGGCTGAAAGCACTCGTCTCACCAGACAAACTAAGCAAAGTCAATACAGTATACAGGACAAGTCCACTTCCAGAAAGTTTCAGAAAATCATCCTTAATTCCAAGTCCACACCCAATAATGTGAATAAATTTAATATTATGAAATTAATTAGCTGGTCTGCGGAGAATGGGCTCACCACTATAGCCAGGTTCCTCCTGAGATTTCTTCCCACTGGGTAGTTTTTCGTCTCATCTGCTATTCTGGGGATTAGGCGGGCACTGCTCACTTTTCCCTTTGTTAATCATGTCTGGGACAGTCCTTCCATGAAAAGCTTACACAAATAAAATCCCCTCGAACTGAAATTTCACTTTCGCCAATTGGGAGACCATTTTCCTGTAAATCCCTGATCTAGAAAAAGACTTTCAATACCCAACTCGGTGCAGGTTTACTCCTCAAACTCTCCTCTGACCTTGGCAATTATATCAGTCTCCTACTTTCCATTCTAGCCACTCTTTCTAGTGATGGCAATGAGAGGCTTTCTGAAGCACCTAAGCCTTCCTGTAGCCGGCGTCACCTATTTATTTTTTGTGGCTAGTTAAACACTACGTACAGTAGCGACACCTGCGTGTCAAATAATTTACAGCTAATTCGCACCATTACAAGAATGCCTATGCTTCTTTCATAACGACCAAGCCTACGACTGCGTTTAATCTCTCCACTCTTCTGGGTACTTGAAGAGCCTTTATGACTCTAAGAAGAGATGCATCCACCCCGGAACTCATCACCTGGGGCTTCCCGTTATCTTGCACTAGTCATCTACTCAACTCTATTCCATCCTTCATTAGTACAAATTCCCATGCATATTCGATTCAATAAATATTAGTAACTACTATTTTAGGCATGGTCTGGAATTCATTGATTATATTTGCTGTCACTGTTGTTTCCATTACAAATGACATGATTGTATGCATTGAAAGACTGATAAGCCTTCATCTTTGAAGACTTATCAAACTTATACATGACTTGTAAAGATACGCTTGGGTAAGCGAACATGTGGTCATTGAAGTTCGGTCAAATACCTACTGAAAAAGACGGAAAGGATTGAAGATCAAATCGAGGGCTGACTGCAATAAACAGTTATGTCCAATATATAACATCTGGACATAACTGTTTATTGCAGTCAGCTCTCGAAATGATAAGATTAGCTAGTAATTTCTTCTGGTTAATTAACATAAGCTGAACTTCATGCTTATTTTTTTCTTGAGACGACGAAGTGCAAATATAATACGACAGCGCTGAAATCCTTTTGCTTACTAGTTTCTTTTGCCTGTAGCATTCGTTTCGGAGCACCAGTGGGCAAATATTTCAATTGACAGCACAGGTTAAGCTTCGTTAAGTAACACTGAAATGAGGCGCCAAAATCTGCGCTGCGATTCGGTGTGGTAGATACAGATTGTATAGGAACCAGTGCTACATTGGAAATGGATTTCGTTGGAAAATTCTGTACACAACATGACGCTAGGGTAGTTTGGCGTCACTAGCCAGGGAGAGGCACACCGAACTTATGCTCTGCTCATATCACGTTCATGTGACTTGGGACTCATAGCGATAAACATTTACACACCTTGTTTTCCTGGTTCAACAAAAGAGGATGTTTGTGCTCCAGCTTCAACTATTTTACAAGTAAAAAAAAAAATCTGCGTACATTCATTTTCTTACACTAACTGTGTGAGATAAGCATTTGGCATATCAAACCCACAAAGACCTGTCAGCCAATAAGATTTGGATATTTGGATCTATTTTCCTGTAATAAACCCTCTCTGATCGGTCTTTCTTGCATCCTGTCATTCTACGGTCCGGCACACCGGCCAATTAAGACCTGGAGCACAGCCACATTCATCAGTCAACAGGAGTCATCTGTTCCCTATTTCCGCTCAGTGACAGCAGTGTGTATATAA